CATTCTGCTTTCGCTGGTTGTGAGCCAACAATGCTGCAGTAATCTCATCAACTTTGATAGTTTTTTTCCCATATGTAAGAGTAGTGATCAGGTGTTCATAAGAAGAAGGCAATGAACACAACAAAATCATTGCTCGATCTTCATCCTCAATATTTACATCAAACCGTGACAGGTCTGTGATTATTTGATTGAAACCATTAACATGACCATGATTGAAACCATTAACATGTTGTGCCAGATCAGAACCTTCTTGCATCCTTAGCCCATACAACTTTTGCTTCAGATATAATTTATTAGTTAGGGATTTGGAAAAAAATTTAACCATAAACCGAGTTTCCAATTTCTTTCATCTCTTCTGGAGATTTTAGATTCATCACGTGATACATAACTTCATCTGTCAGACATTGTGTATAGTTGTTGCCGCTCGTTGTTGCAATTCTTCCCAATCTTCCTTCCCAATCTTCATCCTCCATGACATCTGGTTTTGTTGCCCGCAAAGCTTTTAAGATTCCCAGTTGAGCCAACAGATCTTTTACCCTTGTTTGCTACAACCCAAAGTTTCTGGTTCCATCAAACTTTGTCACCTCAAACTTTGTACCAGAAAATGCTATCTGAAAATTAATCCTGCAATGAATATTTTTTACAAAAGATCTTTTGCCTGGTTCCCTGTCTTTTCCGCATCTTGGAATAATACCTGCGTCCACTAAGATCTCCCCAAAAAATATCTCCAGCAATAGAATAATCGGAACCAAAATTCAGAAATCGTGAATTTTCTCCTGCAGAAAAGGAATCCAATTGTTCGCCTGCAAGGGAAACCAATTCTTTCCCCCTCCCAGCAGCCAATTTTAGCTGGATAATATTCTTTCTCCGTAGCCTTCACCAAGGAAATTCGGAGCTTCCAAATCACAAGGAAATTCAAATCGGCTCCTTTCCAAATATCTTCGCAAGATTCCCTTCTTTTCCGCACTTTCCTTTTCAGCAAGAATTTTCTTTCTTGATTCACTATTCATAGAAGCTTGCTGAATTCTTTGTCGAATTGCTGTGAAGGTCTTCCCGCAACACTGTTCGGCGCTGAACAGAACCCTCGCTCCAACTCCTTTGCGAGGTATCACAGAGCCCTCACGACTTTGCAGATCCGAAGCGTCTGTCGTGAACAAAGCCCCTCGCTAGTCGCAAATCTGAAGTTGTGAATCCCTCCTGTCGCCAATTCGCAGATCTTCGCGAATATGCTTCGGCCGCGCACGATCTGTTTGGCTCTGCAGACGATTTGCTTCATCTGATCTGCTTGTTCGCGAACCGCCGAGAACCTCCAAAGTCTCTGCCTAAGTCCCCGTCCTTCCTGCGCTGACTCCTCTTAGGCTTCACTAACTCCTAGAATTCGCAGAAGCCTGAATCCTTGAAACCTAGCCGCCAAATTTTCTTAAAATCTTTTTTGTTCCTGCGCCGGAAAATTCTATGCCCTCCAACCTCTCTCTGATACCACTTGTTGAGGAAATTAGGGCAAAGAAAAACAGAAATTGATACAAATCCAGAAGAACACAAAGATTTAACGAGGTTCGGCAAAGATGTCAACGTCCTCGGGAGCAGAGTGGTGAATTCTTTTCAATATTCAGAAAAGAGATTACAGAATTTGGGATTTACACCTAGGGTTACATACAAACATGTTTATAACCCTAGAAAACCCTGTAGTACAATATGTAATTACTAAATTACCCCTGCTCCTCACCCCCAACCCACATAAGGAAACTCCCGTGATTTGGACAGAATCTTCCGCTCCAGAATCTGCCCATCTATGGTACATGAGTCATATCTAACAGTATTATATAACAATTATGTAATAAAATGTAGAATTTTATAAAAATAATTGGGTGACTTTCAGAGGATGCAAAAAATGAGTTATATTTAAAATTTATCGAACATTTTTCTCATTCTCAAATTTTTGGGCGTTATAAACCTAAGGTGTATTCACCAGACTGAGGCTTGACTATCTTCTAGAATGATAGATGTTAAAGCACTACTAAAAAAATGTTTTTGAACACACTTATTTAAAAATACTTTTAAAATAAACTGCTAAAAATATTTAAAAAAAACATAAAAATATTTAAATTTGTTATTAAAAACCTTTGCAGCATTAGCAATCATAACAATTTAAAATCCAATGCAAAGAACCTAGTAGAGATTTTTGTCGTTGAGGATGCCTGTATAAAGTGTTGCGAAAACTCTTTTTGTTAGGTAGTGGTGAGATACTCTATTTTTCCGAGTATTATGTCTGTCGGTCATTCGACAAGTTTCGCAAGTTCTTTGGTGACATGACTGTTTTTCCCAGATAAAATTGAAATGACAAATAAGGACTCCAAAATCAAGTCCACATTCAAAAGATTTGCGGCGACAAAGTGATTATTTAGTGCGTTTGCGTTGCATCAAAGTCCAACACACACACAGATAATTGAAGTGACTGATAGAGTCACTAAAAATTTTTATGCAAAAAAATCGAAAAAGAAAAAAATCATGAGGCCAAAAGAATGATATATTATGAGTTGACGAGTATATGCTCGGGCCCTTGTCCCAAAGGCAGGAAAACACTCTAAGATTCATACTCTGGCAATTATACTTTGACATTCATACTAATGACCTCGAGATTTGTGCCCATTGATAAAATTTATTTATGTGGTACAACCACTTGTGTTAGTCAATCGTCGATGATAAGTCTTACGCAGTCACTACAAAAGAAAGAGTTTTCACAGTATTTAATACAAATATCTACAGCGATAAAAATCTCTACTATATGCTTTGCTGTAGATTTTAAATTGCTGCAATTGCTTGCGCTACAAAGGCCAGTGGTTTTAATTATTTTTATGTAATTTTTATTATTTTTAGCAGTATTTTTTAAAATTGCCTTTAAACAGGTGCTAACAAAAGCCTTATTTCTTACTAGTGTTCTTGATCATGATAAGTCTATCTTAGGGTAGTTCAATAGTGTGATAAATATATATTTATAATATAGACTAATCACATTATGAATAGAAGAAATATTTTTAGTTAAATAATTAAAGTCCTCCATAGATAAATCGCTTATGTTGGACCTTTTGGTTAGTATGGGGAATAAAAATTTAATATTCTAAAAAAATATTTAATAAAACTATTGGTTGGGATAAGATCTTTAAAAAAAAAAAAACTTTTTGAGTAGTATATTGAACCTGTTTGACATGTCTTCTCAATTATTTTGTTTCACCACAATCAACTTCAAATTCTCTCAAATAACTAAATATCCTACTCAATAAATTCATCTTAGCTACTATTAAGAAGCATAAAAATAACATTATATAACCCAATTATAATAAAGTTTTCTTAATTATTCAATATGATCTTATTTTATATATGATACATATGTATTTCTGTTTTAAACACGTGATCATGATTTTGAGTAAATCATTTGGTATTAAGAAAAGTGACGTATATTTTTTTAGAGTACAGACAAATGGAGCATGATCATGTGGTTTTTAGCTCTAATCTCATAATTTGTTTTTTCTTTAATAGTATGTATAGTAGGAAAAAATATTCTGCTCGGACATCCGTACGTACTGACAGGCTAACCACCGGCCTCCACGTTGCCCGCTGATGAATTGTATGATGACCTGACGGCTGGTGGTTGGGCGTCTAGACTTGCGTTGTCCAGACACAATATTTCCTCTTTAGGATTAAAGCTTCATTACATAACTATCACCCTATATATTTGGTTAAGACTAGTACTACTACTTTCATATTGAGACTATTATGATATTATTGTGTGAATAATGTTCTGAGTGATACTACTTCTTCAAATATACTTCAAAAATTATAAGGCAAAAAAATAACAATAGAATTTTGTACACCTTTTAAAACAAAGTTACCCCTAATTACCTTTTCATTTTCTTTCTTGAGGATCTTCAATAGTATCATCTCATAGGATACATTTATGCAAATCATGAGTATTCAAAAAGCTTGTAAATACATCTACCATTTTGATATTAAAATTATTGCTCAACATTATGAAATGAAATTATCAATCATTAATTTTATATCGATATCCATCGTAAAATCACTTTTAAAATATATCATCAGTGAACTCGCTAGAAAATCATATAAAAAAAACTAATACATAACCCCTTAATTTCACCCCTCCTACTAATGAATGTGAGATTTATAGTAAAACATAATGATATTAAAAAGAATTGAATGAGTATTATCAACTAAATATATTATTAGTTAATAAATTTCCTCAAATTTAATATACTTTGATTATTTCAATAGTGACAAACAATTTTGCTAATCAAGTACAATTTCTTTTCAGTGAGTAAAATGATGCTTAAAGATATGGCCACCAATGGTTCCAAAGACTTTGAAGACTTTGTTGAGGTGGGGTCTTATGGAGGTATTTTAAGAGAAATCAACTTCCTCATTTTAAGATTCTTATGTAATCTTTCTTCAACTAAAACAAAGTTTATGAGTCTCTGTCCTGACTTGAAATAATGTCTTTTTATGGGTATAAATAATAATATTTTCTTATATGAAATGTCATGATAGAAGGTACAAATCATGTTATGAGAAATATAAAAATATTAGTTTATATCTAAAATACTTAGTTGATAATCATAAAAAAATAGAAAAGTTAATGAAACAAAAAAAAAAGGGGCAATTACATGCAAACCCACTAAAATTTACTATTTATAAATTAACCTCTCTTTGATCTTTTTTCAAATTCTCACTCAAATATTCAAATTTGTGATTGACCCCAATCTAATTTTTTTTTTTTTTTATCAAATTTTCTATAGTTTTCTCGTGACACACATAAATACTGGCGATTAATTTGTAAATATTAATATTTTGGATGGTCAGTATATAATTATACCAAAAAAAAAAAAAAAAAAAAAACAAAAAAAAAAAAAAAAAAAAACTCAAAAGTGCAAATAAAATGAGCAAAACTGAACTTCTTTTAGAAAATGGAATCTGAATTACTTAAATCTATAAGAAAAATTACTACGCCTATTTTGAATACTAATATCGTACAATCAACACTTTGAATCGCCTAAAAGTGCTTTATTAGCACAGCGTTTACGTGCAAAATTAAACCTGCGCTAATAACAGCCACCCCCTCCACAGTTTCAAAATGCCAACAGTAACCTTGCCGGAGACCGCTCAGTCCTTGAGGTCCCTCACCCGCGAGCCGAACATCTGCTCGAGCAGTATCACAACAGTCATCGAAAGGCCGGCATCGAAGCCTGGCTGCACGATGAGGCGGAACACATCGCCGTCGAAAGCGACGCCGGCCACCGGCTCCTTCCTTCTGATCTCCGCTACTTGCCGCCGTCGATCATCATAGACAGCACAAGCTCTGTGCGAGAAGGAACCCTCAATGCCGTAAATGATCCCTTCTTCGCGGCCGTAAGTGGTCATATATGCTAGTTCTTTGGATGGGAGCAGAGAAACGTGCTTTCGCACAGAGAACCGAGGCCGCGAAGCCGATGCATCGCCGTCAAAGATATGCCAGTGGTCTGCTATGCTTAGTTTCTGCATTAGAAAGAAGAGAGGTTCCAAGCAACAAGAAATTAGAAGAATCCCATGGGTGAAATTGATGAAATTCCCAAATCTCTCTTTTCCGGGAAAAAAACAGGAAATTTACATATATATATTCATTGACCTATTTCACAGCCAAAATTTAATTTTTACACCAATAACAGCATTTCTCATGCATGAAAAAGATATAAATAGTGTAATCCATCTTTATATACATAAGAAAGACATTTTAGATGTAAAAATTGAAGTTTGGATGTGAGATAAACAAATACATTAGAATTAGGTGCTATGTATGCAAGTTTTCCAAAAAGAATGGATTTGGCATTTGGAGAGGTTCAAATTTAAATTTTTATTTATACGAGAAAAAAAAATTGATCTTTTATCGTTTCAGAAATATTAATCTATCCCTCCTGAAATATTACTTTAACCTTCATTGTTATAGTCTCTCTTACATTGAATTTAAGGGACAATTTACCCCCTACCAAAACATCAAAAAGGAGAACGGTTCCGCTTCGGCCCCATTCAAAAACCAAAATAATTGAGCCGAATTGTATCAAAATCCCATTCCCAAGTCCAATTTACTGACCTAGAAATATCGGTAGATTGGAAGGAGCTTTTACCTTACGGCGTATGGTGTAGAGGGGCTTGCCGGCAGCATCCATGAGGACGATCTCTGTGCGACTCGCGGATGAATAGTTGTCGACTCGGAAGCTAAGGTTTCCCTTGGAATCGAAGACTGTGAAGCCGCTACAGTTGAAGAGGAGAGACTTACGCCAGACGGTGAGGGTTGCCGGCTGCGATTCGGCCGAGATGGACGCAAGAGGAGACGAAGAGATGGGTGAGTTCGGGTAGATCTTTGCCATGTCTTTCCGGCAAGTTCTGCCGGCTGCCGTCGCGGTGAGGTTGGGATGAAGGAGGCAGGCGTGAAGAAGATGAGGTCTTGGTCCCCACGAGCCTGCAATATATAAAAGACTTATGGGCATAAATACCCCTATATTTGGTACTTATAACGATGTTGTCAGCCACATTTTTATTTAATTAAAGGGAATGCCGGGTGCCGTAATATGGCATAAAAATTGTATGAATATGCTGTCATCATGTGGTGTAATTTAAAAAAATCAAATAAAAAACTAAGTGAAGAATACTATTAAAATCATGGTCCCGTATCTTTTTTTTTTTTAAAAGAAATTTTATATAATTCTATTTTTATAGAAAAATTTTATTTGATTTTAATTTTCTAATTTAGATATATAAAACTATAAACTATTTATTTATTCTATTGTTATATGATTAAAATTATATATGTATAATACTTTATAATCAACATTATTTCTTACTGAGACGATTGAAAAAAACTTATAATTTGAACAAAAACGTTGTGCATTACTAGATTAGAACCAACTGAATTATTTAGTGTAAATTAAATAGAATTTATTAAGATCATTCTTCATACTTCCCAGTAATCAATACCCTTCAACTATATATATATATATATATATAATTGATGAGTAGTA